GCTGTTACTTCCCCAGCCAAGGGGAGACTTGGAGATCCTTCCCATGGTGCAGCAGAGGAGATACCCCAAGTACGTTCCTTTGTGTGTGCACATGTGTGAGTGATTGTCTGAATGACGTGGCTGGCATGGTTTTTTTATGAAGGCTCAGAATCACAGAGGGGTCTGGGTTTTGGCCTGCTGGCCTCCGACCTCTGTGTTTGAAAGAGAGAGATCGACAAAGATGGAGAGAGGGAGATGAAGGGCCAGAATGAACGGGTTTGTTTTGTGGCAGTAATCCAGAGCTAAACAAAACCTCAAAACCTCCCTCTCTCTAAAGCAGACTGAGGTGTTCAACTGTGCCCACTTATACATGAGGAGGGTTAGGGTTAGTCCAAAAACAGTGCCTATAAACAGATATGACGGTTGTGTGTGTGAACCAATTCTGACTGTGCAATTTCAAATGCAGGATGTTCATCTGCTTATGTATTTGAGTCTGATGGGAAATTTTAAATACGCATGTATATATCTGTCCAGGTTCTTGGCTAATTGGTTTGTGTTTATGATATATTATTCAGGCTTTACGTGGATGGCCCATTTGGAAGTCCATCAGAGGAAGTGTTTAACTATGATGTCAGTCTTTGTGTTGCGGGTGGAATAGGAGTCACTCCGTTTGCCTGCGTGCTGCATGCTCTGCTGTAAGTTATGAAACATTGTCATACACGGATAACGAATACTTGGAGCAAGTATTTAATGCTTACTCCTTTTTTTGTCTCTCTCCTTTTCTCCCTGCTATGTTGCCTAGTGATGGTTGGACAGGTTTCAGGTTGCAGAGGTTGTATTTTATTTGGGTCTGCAGGGAGCTCCAGTCCTTTTACTGGTTTGCTGAGCTGCTGTGTGCACTTCATCATAAGGTCAGGACATGCTACATGCTATTAGCATGTTGTATTTTTTCATTGCTTGTCAGCAGTGGGTCAGAAGATTCACTTTCTGAAAGAACTTAAACAGTTAATGGTGCAGAGAAAGATCAGAGATTAAAAGCGTAAAAGGCAGCAGATGAGCAGGGCAGTCGTTACTGTGGCACCTGTGCTTTTTGTCTCATTACAGTAAAACAAAGTTTGTGTAGAAAATCAAATAAAACACTAGCCCATGGTAGCGGGCTCTGCTTAAGTCAAACTCAGTGTTTTTAAAATAATATAAACATTTTTGAGTAACTCAGAAACAGTGTCAAGAAAATTATTTTGTCAGTGTCAGGTTTGTTGTATCAACACCATCTTTACCTCTCATTTCAAAGACACAAAGGGAATAAATGTTTCATTTTATCCTTGATGTCTGTTTGCTAAGTTAAACACAGCATGTCTCAGCACCACTAACACTGATATTTTCATGCTTGTGTCTGTCATTTAGCTTTGGCAGGAAAACAGGCCAGACTACTTTAATCTGAAACTGTACGTCAGTCAGACAGACAACCTGCAGGTAGGTGCTTTTAAAACCTAAGCCACTAGAGGGCAGTATATGGCAAAGAGTGAAGCTACAGCACACTAAGGTTTAAAGTCTACCTCTGAGTTCACTGACTGTTGGTGAGCTTTCTGAAGAGCATAAGCTTTCACAGAACCTTTTCTTTCTACTGTCTCTGTCTTTCTTTGCTTAAAAGCACAACAATTATTCAAGACAGATCAAGAATGAACATTTAGTTAATGTTGATAGAAATGCATGGTTATTTCAGTTTCTGTAAGAAAAGTAAACAAGACTTCAGAGAGAGGCAAAAGAAAACATATAATAATAACATTACTGATTATATTATGTGGTTGGGCACAGTTTTGATCATACTGTGAATAACTGCTAATATTCCAAAGGCAGTCACACCCTCTGCCCCTCCCTGCTCGCTCCACTATAGCACAGCACAAACTGAACCAGCATGGCAAAAAGTTTGTGCTGCCTTGTTACTGTTTCTATAAAAGCTCTTGTTTACATTGTGGATGGATAATGCAATATAAGATGATAGGAAATGATACTGGACCCTGGGTTTCTTTGTGATATATTACTATGCAGGAGCTTAGGTAAGTTGTTTTGTCTGATGGCTCTTAATACTAAACAGAACATTTTTGATCAGGAAAAAGCTCATTTTTAAACAACTATAAATTTCAGTATCATTATTGTTCCTTAGCCTCAACTTGTCAGTGACTTTGCTGTCAAGGCAGCTTTTTTTTTTAAACCTGTCACTGTCAAAAGTGCTTTTTTGATAAAGATTTGATGTCATCAATCTGTCACTGCCAAGGTCGGATGTCTCTGGTAAAGGAGACATGAGCTGTATCTTGTACACTGACTGTGCAGTTTCAAAGCCTGCTTACCTTTACAATTCTTTTTAATAAAACTCAGGATTTTTGTCTTACCTACCTTCTACTTCAGATCATGTCTGAGGAGAAGTACCGCCTTCTCACCTCGAGACTGCTGGTTGGTCGGCCCAGGTTGAAATTGCTTTTTGATGAAATTGGGAAGACAAATAAACAGTGAGTGGACCTGGAATGTCTGGGGAGTATTAACTCAGTGTTATTAAAGCTATAAATTTAGGTTAACACGCCATGATACAACTGTCTCCCTCATCTGTGGTTTCAGTAAACGAGTTGGGGTTTTCTGCTGTGGACCAAAAAGCCTCTCCAGGACTCTCCACAGACTGTGTAACTCTGCCCAATCCTTTGGAACAACCTTTGAATTCAACAAGGAGTCATTTGGCTGATCAGACACTTCAAGGTCAACCTCAGCAGCTTTGGGATGGATGGATTTTTACATGTTTTGGTGCAAATGTTCTTTATTTGAAGTAAACTTCTCAGTGTCTTTGGCCAGTCTTGGTTGCTTGAAACTTTGTTTGCTAAGCAGACTTTCAAATGTCATTTGACATCCAACTGACCAACAGAACCTCTTGTCTAATCACCCTCTGTGAAAAACTAAAGAGACCAGCTCAGTGCATGGATTCTTCTTTAACAGTTGTGTTTTTTCTTAAGTTGCTACCAGATGTCATCTTTTCCCTTCTGAATAGTAACTTTCTCATATTGATATTTAATGTGAGGAAACAATCTGACATAACCTGCGGTTCCATAACTGCAAAAACAAGATATTGGCATTACACAGGAAGGAAATGAGCTTTCAGTGGATCAGACACAGGGGCCAGACACACACATTTAAGAAAATATTGGACTCTAATAAACATGAAGTTGGAACCACAGAGGGAACTCAAATATGGTACAGGTAAGTGCCTGGTGTAGGAATAGTGCTGACCTCCACTTGACACCACCCAACAACCTCTCTCAGCCAAAGGTTTTAGGAATATGTTTTGCTCAACTAACTCTTTTTGTCCATATCCAAAACACAGGGCATTCAGCACTGTGTGCCTTGTTATCTTGATTAAAACTAGTTCAGATTTAGACAGTAGTACAGAGCCACTGATCATAAAGAATGTGATAATAGGAATCATCTCATGGGAAGAATGCACCATCTGGCTGATTGGAACAGAAACGAGCTTGAAAAGGGCGGCGGGACTTTAGGGCTTTACAGATGGGTCTATACATATCTACAAGGCCTGGCTTTCCCCCCATATTTTAAGACCAGCGATTCTGTACTACTGACTACATTTGAACTAATAATCATCAGTATCTGAGGTGATTTGCTTTTAACAGAGGAACCGCAACAGACATATAACTGACACTTGACACAGGCTTTGTTTTCATCTTATTGAACATTGTCAGTTCAGTGTATGTGCAGCAATATCTGTGTTTACACAAAAAACCCCTACACTATACCACTATGGTTGTTATTTCATTGTATTTATATTTAATTTTATGTCATGTGAGGACTTCTGCAGGGCTCTGGCAGTTTAAGTTTGACACTACATGTTAGTAGTTACATTTTAGTCAGTGATTAGTTAAAAAAGAAATGCCCACACTGGAACAGCAGGTTTCTACTGAGAACCAACATCTTAATGTTTATGATTTTGTGACTGAAACTACCATATGACCTTATATAGTATTTATCTACCACTTATTTAGCATCAGAAATATAAATATATTCAAATGTTAAATTGTATGTATATTTTCAGGATTATCCTCTTTTTAGAAAGCAAAAAATCTTAAAAGGTTTTTTATTTATTATTATTTGATTACATTCATGGATTAAGAAAATAATGGTATTATTTCCTTCTAGGATTATTTATGTTATGACCCATATTTAACTGTCACACATGTATTTTTTAGAAACATGTCTTATTTTGACAGACGTTGACTGTTTACTTTAGCTAGACATGCAGCAGTACTGCACTCTCCTAACTAAATCATCACTACATCTATGAGGCTAAATGAAAGACAACAGTTGGTTGTTATTCACACTAGCAATAAAACATGCATCTGATGTTTGACAACCATAAACACCGAAGTCAACACTCGTGCAGAAAAATCGCAGAGAAAATCAGGGTCAAGTCTCATTTTAATACAGCATGTATAAAGTCATGAATGATCTCTGTTCTCGTGGTACCACCTACATTTCTTTGCAGGCATTATGTCGTGCTATTGTCCTTTAGCACCACTGCTAACACACAAGAGACTGTTGCAGGTTTAGTTAATGTTTTCTTGTCTGTAAATCAGAGCAGAGGTTTGTGCTCAAAGACAAATTGTTTAAAAAGATGCTCAAATCAAAGCAGTTTGGTCCTTAGTTCCTCTAGTAATTCTGAAATAATGCATTTTCTTAAGGTTGAGCCTGAGATAATTAGGGAGCAAGTTTTATGATATGTGTTTGTACAGTATGAAGCAAATAGTGTGATTTTGACTTTAACTTCAGCAGTCACTGCAGTTTCTTAAAAGGATCTAAAATACTCTTTCCTCCTAAAATATCTTTGAGTTGTTGTCAGAGGGATTATTTGGAATTCTTTCAGTATATATCCTGTGACAGAATCACCCTGAAATAAATGACCCTATCAGTGTAATAGTAAGTTACCAAGGAAACTGTTTTTTACTGATTCGCTTGCTGTCATTTGTCATTGTCCGCTGAGTAGCTTGCAGTAGTACACAGTAAATGTACTCCAAGGATTTGACCTGACACAAATTACAGTTCAAGTACCCACAAGAGATTAGTCTGCGTGGTGTATAACATTTCCATTCGAACACTGATGTACCGTGTTGTCTTAAATAGTGCGAACCCTTAAATCTGCCCCTGCCTTCTGTCACTACCCAGATACTGTGGACATGAGTGGAGATTTGTGTTGCCTAAAAACTTTAAAGAGTCAAAAAACCTTTAAAATGAAAATGACTTAGATAATCAAAAATTTTGTTTACTGTTTCAGCTTCATAAAACTCTGTGTGTGTTACAGAGGAGTTTGATATGAGGCTGAACCTTCCTCCGAGCTGCTCTGTAGTAGGGGCTGTCTCTCTTCGTAGTTTAGCGCCCTCTTCCTCCTCTGACTGCGCTTCCACTTCCGTCTGGCAACAACAAGCAATGCAGCAATGACTGCAGTGATCAGAGCCCCGAGGATCCCAGCAGCTAGGAGCCACTGCCAGATCTGCTGGGCCTGCTGGAGGTAGGGTGTCAGGAACTCCTGGACAAACCTCTGACCTGGGGTGGTAATGCACAGAGTCTGACATGAAGTTAAAGTTGTTGAAACATTCATTTACTGAATGTGTTCATTCTGTACTGACCAGGGTCCAACAGGTAGGCGTACTCATATCCTAGAGCCTTGTTGGACAGGAAGTAGTCTCCGTTTCTATAGAGAGGCAGGAAGGGCACCATGTAGTAACCGTCATTGTGGCCAATGGGAGCATTGGCACGTGGGTAGCTGGTCCGTGCAGGCCGGTGGGTTCTGAGCCAGCGCTCAAATATGCTGGAAAAGGAAGGAACAGAGAGACAAAGGGGAGTGAAGATGGCTGCAAAAAGAAATACCTGACCAGACGAATAGGTGGCCCTCAGCATTTTGTAACAATGTGTCCTCTGTTCCTGTGTGTGACTGGCTTACAGGCTTGTGTCATACCTGTCAATGAAAGCATGGTGCAGCAGGAAAATAGGGTCATTGGCTGAACCCTGCACTGAGGACATGGAGCCATTCATGAAGACATGCAAGGAGTTGTGCATGGTGCTCTGTCCTGACACTGCCATACCTGTGACTGGACTGGCAAATCCTGCAGGAGGGAGGGAGGTTACAAATGGGTATGTGAAGAAAAGTAAAAATAACATTCAGAGTCACTCAAGTACAGAAAAAGGGATGGGAAGCTAATATGTAACTGTATTTTTACCCTTGTGTGAATTGAAATGGGCTCAAACTCATTTAGGAGATTAGACAGATATATTTATTCTAAGATTATGTGAAAGTATAGTAACATCTGTGTGTGTGTGTGTGTGTGCGTGTGTGTGTGACTACCATTCCCACCTTCTAGAACATTTCTAAAACTCATGTTTGCCGACCGGTCCATAGGCCCTGTCTCGTACTCAGGGAGACCCACAGTGAACTCCACATCAGCTGCTGTGGGGATTCGGGGTACCCGGTTCTGATCATGGTTTCCCGGGTTACGCAACAGCGGACCCTCCCCTGTAGCGTTACACAGTGCCTCTCGGCTGTTGTACTCCTCTGGCTGGGTGCAGATCACCTACACACACCCATCAGTATGAGTTGGATGAAATGGCCCTCATACAGGAATATTTACTTCTATTATCTAGAACTGAGGTATTGAAATAAACAAAATGGACTGAACATAAAATGGCAATAGACAGCAACACTGTAATAAACATTATATCCTGCTGTACTGCAAAAAATACCCCAAGCAAAATGATATTTGTTCTTTACACATTTTTGGGATGTGTAAATGTTAGTGAAGACATGATAGAATGAGCTTATCTTAAACGCAGCAGGAGAAAGTGACTGCTGGTTGAAGGAGAAGACACAAATTGCTACAAGAATAACTCAGAAGTATTCAGGACTAAAGTTGGGATATATTGTCTGGGATGTGAAGCCTCGTTCATTCTGATCTTTCTTTTTGGTTGGATTACCTGAGGAAGAATTCTTTAAAAAAATTGTTTTTCCAACTAAATCGATAATTTCCTTGAATGAATAGGATAAACCGGCTTTTAGACAACAGCCCTGCAGCATCAAGTGCAAACAATAAAGGCTTTGTTTTGGGTGTAAAGGAATTTTCAGTCTCTTAATAGTGGATAAGAAAGATTTGCTCATACATCTTCACATAATTATGTATGTTTTCACTCAAAGACAGAGTCAGAGAAGGGTGATCATTGTTTCTTACCTTCCATGAAGAGAAGACAGAAGAAGGGCTGATGAGGTTGGGATTCAGAGGGCTGCGTCCACCCATCAGAGCATCAGTGCACACCTCACAGGACTGGGCATCCCTCCAGTCCCAGTATGGGATAGTGAAGTTAAGATCTCCCGTCAGCTTCCTTATCTCGTTCTCCCAGTACAGCAAGAAGACTCTGTGCCAGGGCAGAAATGCTGCAGATTCATGGGCAAAGTCAATGTCCCTCCACACATTTCCTGGTCCTCCCAAGAAGGTGTCCCGGGACACATAGTAGTGCATCCAGACAAACAGGTCATAGGTGCTGATGTCAGAGAACATGGGATTCTCACCGTTTTCGCCCATCTCTGCTCTTGTTGCTGTGGCGATAACGTAGTCACGGCTGATGGTGTTTTTAGCCAGGTTTAGATAAGAGATGAACTTCTGTTGCTCAGCAGTTGACAGGGTCAGGATGTTCCTGCGCACTGATTCCCTGTACTCAGCACAGTTTGGACCCCAGTAACCAAACCTGCATTCTCCACAGTTAAAACCTCCGTAGTTTCCAGCGCAACGGCACGTCCGGTTAAAGAAAACTAAAGGCCAGCGCTCCCTGTCATCAATCCCACTGTGTGGGTACTGGAGACCATGGGGCTCATCTGAGACCAACACCTCAGTGCAGAAACCACGGCCTGACAGGGCACCACAGGCTGAGCCGTCTCCATCCCACACTGGGCAGCACTCTTTAGTCTGTAGTCCCTCTGAGTTGGCACATGGACGAGGGAATTGACTTAAACAAGTCTCAAAGAACTGCAGCAGAACTACAGACACACACAGGCTCCTCATGGTAAAAAAGTCAGAGCGCCTCCAGTCCTAACTGCAGTGGAAATACAAAACAGAACCTGATGCCCTCACAGATTGTGCAGCTGACACAGTTAGAACCAACAAGAGCAGCATAGAGGAGGACATTCACTGCTGAATAGTTGCTTCTAGTTAGTAGGCTGCAGGCAGAGAAATACAGGATCAGGCATTCAACCAAATTTGATCTGAAGATGGCTTTTAATGAAAAAGTATTTATCCACAAGCAAGCATTTGTTAGATTATTTTTGAAGGAAAAAAAATCAGTTTGCAGGTTTTTGAATTTGCTCCCCTACTACACTACACTACCATCTAACCCTGCTTGCACCCTCTCTCACTCTCTCACTCTCTCTCTCTCCCTTATGCCCAGCCAAGTCTCCTGTTCTCACCCAACTCAGTGAGCTGTTCTAGGGGCTTTCCTCTTACAAAATGTGTGATCTCATGCACTAAGTAAGACACACATACACACACCCCATCACATGCTCAGGATAATATTCTTGATTGGTGTTTCATTTTTTCCTGAGACCAGCTGATCTCTGCTCCACTATACCTCAGGCAGAAATGTGTGTTGGTATGTGTGTCTGTGTGTGTGCACCACTCCTTCCCCTTAGTGAAGGCTGTTCAGGAATTAATGCAAGTACAGTACATGAATCACACTGTGGTCTTGCGCCACTGTAACCTAAATGTCTACAGGTTTTCAGTGCAGCTGAACTTGGTTTGTTTCTCCACCGGGTGAAGGAGTGTTTTTTAAGTGGGTCTAGTCTATTTGGCCTTGCCAGTACTTTGCAGGAAGGGCGAGGAATTCTGTCGAATTGTGGTGCCATCAGTGGTCCTTTTCATCTGATGATCAAACAGTGGTACAGTAGATGAAAGTGTATTAGAATCTACAGTGAGTGCATTATGCAAGTCGGCTTGTTAATGGGTTTTACTGGGGTACAACAGAAAACGGAAATATTAGTCTGGACTATATGTCAGACAAATTACTGTCTGTCTTGATATGTTAGAATAGTAGTGCTGTTTTGTGTGTGCACAAATATTACCAAGGCATGGCTGTGGAGGAAAAGGGTGTGAACGCTGTCCCCAGTAAAGAATGTGTGGCCTATTTTAAAATGCAACTTGCATCAACGAAGACCCAGGAATGTTGTGCACCTTAAGTCCTGTGTGCAGGAAGAATGGGACAAAATGACACCTGACACATTTAATCACTTGGTGTCCTCAGTCCCTAAATGTCTTTTAAGTGAAAAGGAATGGCAACATCACACCGTGGTAAACACTTTACTGTTCTGACTTTTTTTTTGGAATAATGTGCTGCTTTAATGTTTTCAATGTAATACAGATGATTTACACATAATTTTTTTTTCAGTTAGAATTTTGATTTTAGAGAATACAGTACAGCAAAGCATTTGTTATGTAGTAACTGAAGTGGAAATCGAGTATAAGTAGTTTAAATTTGTAACTGCTGCCTAAAAAGGCTACAGACGTTTAAGCTGCTTGAATATCAAGTGGAAATCATGGTTATGTTATTCTGTGTAAACCATAATATGTATCAAATCATGATGATTTGCTAAAATGAAATGTAACACAAAAGTTGCAACCAGCATTGAGAAACATTTCACTGTGATTCCTAAAATCACATGTTATAATATGCCTTTGACTTGTCCTCATCTGCAGCCTGCCACATGGTAGCTACAGCATGATGGTCACCTTCTACAATGCAAAAATGTACTGTAGGCTAGGAAATGTTGAAACTGTGAGAAAGCAGGATGGGGAGGGAGTGTGAGAGGGATGCTTTGCCATATGTTTAGCTTCTTCTGGCTCTGTAGACTACAGTACAGTGCTGCTCCAGGCTTAGAGCAGAAAGTCATCTGCGCTCAAGCCGGGATCACAAGCCGGTCACACGCTACAGCAGCCAGGCACGGGGTGCAGCTTATCCTGCCGCAGGAACGCAGTGGAGCGCACAGGAATGACCATCACAGGATACACTTGTCTGCAGGGCTCTTCTGAGAGAAACGGACAGACTGTGTGTGAGAGGGAGTTTTTCCTTTGAGCTTACTAAGAATTTCACCTTCTGGAAAGCTCCCAACTTATAGCACTTCACCAGAGTGAACTTCTCAACAGCCACATGATATACAGATGTCCGAGTGATACCGACCCAGCACCTGATTGAGACTTTTTCATGACATCTCTTCTGCTTTTTTCCCCAACCAGACACAAGAGGGCAGCAGGACCCGTCTATTGCATGAAACACCACAGGGTCAAATGCATAGTTATTTGTTGGCTGTAATGAGAGGAGGACGAATAGTGGCGATCTGCTGGGTGGAGGTGTTTCTGTTTGACCTTTTTTCAATTCAGAGAGCTTATTCATAGTAAACCCCACCTGCTTCCCTGCACAGATCTTCCTGATTTCTATTACTGACAACAGATATACTGTGTCACTGTGTGGCCCAAGGAGATAATTAGTCTCTGGGATAGCTGAAAAAAAATGTAGAAAAAAATCAACTGGACTTGGTTTTAGGTAGAAGACATTTCACCTTTCATCCAAGAGGCTTCATCAGTTCTGTCCGACTGGCGTTGAGCAGGAGATGTTTATCCCCTAATTCACACCAGGACAATAGGTGTCAGTCCACATGTGAAGGTTCCAAGACAGGTAACGACACTCACCGATACCGGGCTATAACGACTCAGTCATTAGTGGACATTGCTGGCCGTCGAAGGACTGAAACACCACCCAGGGGGATAAATACCTCCTGCTCGCCATGCTATATTACCTAGTGAACCCACATCTGCTCCAGTGGGCTTCTCTTGAGGGAGATTTATGTGATTTTTTTCTGACAATAATTCATAATTAGGTAGAAATCCACCAATGAGGTAGGACATTTTCAGCTGCATTTTCATTTATGTAAACATTTGTGCATTGTTTAGTCACATAATGTTGATATGGATGGAGAGAGCTGCCTTTTGTGTCAAAATGTCACATGACAACTGTTGTTTCTATGTTGCTTACAGGCATTTGTTCAATCGACTGGGGAAGATTTTCAAAACATGATATGCTTAATGATATCAAGACATTAGACCATGGGTTTTCAACCAGTGGTCTTTGGTCCATTGCTGGTCCATGAAGACATCACAAGTCACCGACCATGTATTCAGTAATGTAGTTTCAGTACAGGAATCTTTTTTATTTCTTTTTAAAACCCATTTCTGTGTATTACTCATCGTGAAATATCAAATCCATGAAAACAAACATCAAATTTAGAAAAGCCCTGGTGACTTGCAGGATTAAAATAGTGCCCACCTGGTCCATCCACCCCACAGCAGTGGTCCGTAGGTTACTTCCTAGTCAGAATGGTGATCCCTGGGTCACAGTTAGTTGAAAACCCCTGGTTTAGGCTGATTAGGAACAGAAAACCAGAGGCTGAATGTTCATCACATATCATGAGCTTGTTTAGGTCACTTCAAACGAATATGTGACATTAAAACCCAGTGTTCACTTGGTCAGTGAAGCAGGGATCACATTGCCTGAGAGTGACTGTTTCATAACCATTGTCCTTGTTTCTCTGTTGTCATTATGCAGCTGTAATTATTTTTTCCTCATTATTTGTGCTACTTAGCGTGGGAATATCACAAACAAGTGACAACCCTGTAAGTCAGCTACAATATGCATCTATGGCATCCAGGGGTTTCCACTGTTATTTTGAAATGCCATTAAATAATTGATTTGCCAACTGTGACACTAACTCTGATGTGCGTGTGATTTGTGGGGGAGCATGGTAAAAACTGATTTTTACCCTATAGATGTTTATATGTATGTGATTCACTTGTACAGAATTACACACAAACACACACACAGTGCAGGAGGTTTTATAAGATGTTCTCTGCACTGTAGTCTGCACACTGCTTAACAATATCAGCGTCAGATTATGCTCATACAGTCAGAAGTGGAAAATAACTTGAGGTATCTGTACTTTACGCAAGTGTTTTCATTTTCTGCTACTTCATATTTTGATTTCATTACATTTTAGAGGCAAAAATTGCACTTTTTACTCTGCTACATTTATTGCATAACTTTAGTTACTAGTTACTTTTCAAAATCAAATTAACTACACAAAATACAGTATAACCATAAGAGTTTACTGATCCCTAGTGGGTAATTCACAAGCTAGCCAACAGCAATTCAAATTCTAAATACATAAGCTCCACCTATTTTACCAGCTGCAACATTAAAGTGACAAAAACAATAATCCATCAATAATTTTAATCCAGTATTATGCTATGCATCAGTGTGCCATTCTGCATAATGAATACCTTTATTTTTTGTACTTTTACTTAAGCAGCAGAGTACTTTTACATTGTGGTATTGCTACTTTTACTTAAGTCAACGATTTCGGTACTTGTTCCACCACTGCATACACTCTGCCAACAAAATGGTATCATACTGTACGTTTCAAACTAGTTCTCTGCTGTTACAGTATGTATCGTATTTGTGTTCATGTGGTCATCAGGTAGCCTAATGGTCAGTACATGGCATCATCTGGATCAATGAAAGAGTCACAGCAACATCAGAGTGCATGAAGAAGGAGAGTGATAACATCTCCATAAACTCTATAAGGACTGTTTTTTTTACAGTAATAGCGCATCATGGGGATGTTGAATATTTCCAAGCATTAGGACCAGTGCCATAAAGTTACATTGTCTTGGCTGCTGTCTTCTAAAGTAAGAAGCTGAAATCAATAGCAGTGATTATACTTGTGACATTATAAGTTAGCAACGTGTCAAAACACATTTTACAACCTTTTGACTGTTTCACCTTTAAATACTGGGTCACTTTAATAATTAGGTATGTAGATAACTAGCTAAATTAGCTGAGCTTTCTACAACAACCAAACACAGGATTAGTTTGCAATGCTGT